TAGGATTAGTAGAAGGGATTTAATTAGTAGAAGAATTGAAGTGGTGGTGGGATTAAACTACTGAAGTTTTAGGTGAACTGAATAGCTCCATCCAGTGTCTGCTTCTTCAAATACTGTACTTTCAGTGTTCACCCCTTCTTCTACTCTCTTACCAGATTCCTGAGAACTCCAAAATCTTTCTCCATCTATCCATCTCTTCCCTGAGATCCCTCATGATTCTCAGTTCCTCTCAGGATATTTTTTTTGTCCTCGCTTAGAATCATATAATCGCTTAGGTTGGAAGGGTCCTTAGAGATCATCTAATCCAATCTCCCTGCCATGGGCAGCAATGCCCGTCAGCTAGACCAAAGCTTCATGAAAATACTGCCAAAATACTGCTTTTCTAAATTAGCCAGGTTCTAAAGGGACACCGTTAAGAAGGGGATTACAGGTTTACGCCTTTAAAATTCTCCAGTGGTAAAGTCTAAGAGTAACTGCGGGGTCTGAAAGAATAACAGGGACTAAAACATGGGTGCGAGGTGCTCTAAGCATGCAGAACTTTGTTCCGTAAGCTCAGCGTTGTGTGGCAATATGACAACCGACTTTAGCAAATGAATTATTCTTCCATTATTATTTTCTTGTAAATACTACAGAAAAACAGTAAAGTGGAAGGAGCATATGAAAATTAAATCAGTAAATTTAGAATTAAGTGGCAGCTGTTTGTGTATGCCTTGAAAATTGTTGGAAAAGACTTTCAGCTGAAGGCGCGATGACTAAGTAACCATAAAGTGCAAAAAATATAAAGCTGAACATGTTTTATTCATCTTCTTGGTAGAAGAATGTACACATAAGCCCGTGGGGAATAAGCATTACCAGCGTGTCTGAAAGGCAGTGGGGCAAGTCTGTGTGGTGCACAGAGGCCAGCCCATGGGAACTGAAAGAAAAGAAACCCAGCTTTAGTGGCACTCTCCCCTCTGCCATGTTCTAAGTCCACTCACCTGACATTGTAAGCTGGAAAGGTAATCTTCATCCTACTGAACTTTGCAGGAGTTGGGAATTATGTGCCGGTACCTTTTAAAGGGTTGGACCTGAGCCTTGCAGCTGAAATCATGGAAACGGTGCCAAAGAATGGCGTAATTAGCTAATACTTCAATATCCTGAACCGTAATTTAACAACCGTTTCAAAATATTTGATATTGCTCACTTTATTTAATGTAGGTATCTTTATATTGAATTGACAACCTCCATTTGATATTAGGGGTAAAGCCTTATTCTGATGCCCAACCTACTTTGACCCTTTCTCTCTTAGGTGAGTACTTGAACATGTAGTACCACGATGAACCGTTGACTGAGGGCTAGAGAAAATGGGTTGTTATATGGGAGTTGGGGAGATTCAGCTCAAAAGACTGGGGAAGAATGGTTCCATGAAAATCTATCTCTAAGTTTCTCATTTTGGTTGCATCAGCAGCTTGAACTGACTGGCTGACTCTGCAAGTGCATCAGTGCCTGCCATGGCACAGGGGACAGGAGGGTGAATGTGGCATGGGGTATACCAAAATCTCAGCTTTTGGGACAGGGAGTCCCCAAAATTCACACTGTAACTGTGAAGAATTGGGGTAGAATGGGACCTCTCACAGAGTTTGACAGAGGTGGGCTTTCCTCAGCTTTTCCAAGTAAGAGTGCAGGTGACAAGCGCCTGGAAAGATTCAAATGCTGGACCTTGTTGGAGATAAGTCTCCTTCGCCCTCTGGTCCAAAGTGAAGCGCTCTCAGTGTGCTGCGTGGCTCGGTGTCCTGTTTCTCTCTAGCTGTTGCAGAGTGACTTCTTTGGCACTTGGCACGTGTCTTCTGTAGGACGTACTTGGTTTGTTAAATTTGGGCTACAGGAGTTCCAGGTATCAGATGGTGAAATATCTATGACTGATTTTGTGATGTTTGAAGGGTTTTGATGTCATTGGCTTCTGGTGCTTAAGGAATACATACACTCTCACTGTCTTCTATATTACAAATATATGTAATATATATACACATACGTGTGTGTGTGTATATATATATATATACACATGTATATATTATTTGTATATTCCCATAACTATAACACATATGTATGTATATTACATATATACATATATTACATAATATTATCTATATGTACATATATATTCCAAGAGTTGAGAGGTTAAGAGCAACAGCATAAATGCAAAATTAACAATTTTTTTCCTCTTGATGCCTCCTTTCTCTACAAGTGTACAAATTTCTTTCATGCTTGCTATTGCCTCAAAAATAGTCGTATGTAAGACTGTTTGATACAGTTCTTTCTTTACCAATGATGGAGCTGTTAACTATTCAAATTTGTGCATCAGGCACATCCAAAACGTGCTACTGTTTTCCATTCCATCCTCTCTGCTAGATGGCATTGCTTCTGCCTTCTAGACCACAAAATGCCACTACTCTCAATCCTAGTTCTAGTGGATAGCTCTTTGTTTGAGCTAGTCGTGCTTTTTTTTCTTTTTCTCACATTTCAGCCTTTTTTCCTCCAAAAGCAAGTTTATGCATTTCTCTGGGAAAGAGCAGGGGCTCTGCTCCTTTGTTCTTTACAGAGAAGAACTTGCCCTGTCTGAAATCCACACAGAAGGGCTCACTTGGTGCTCTCTGAGCAGGTCCATGTCTACTGTCTTCACAGTCAGTCTCTTTTTCCAGAAACTTGAGAGCAAAACTGTTGGGTAAGAGTGTCATAGAACAGGACTGGAGTCTTTCAGAGAGAGATTGTTAACTGGGGGTGAGGTTGGTGTTGCAGAGGTGAAAAGGAGAGTCTATTTTTGAAAACTGTAATTTCAACCTCCTTGTGGACTGTGGCAGAGAATGCCTTGATTGCCTTTGAATCAGTGTTGGTTTTAAAAAAAACCTCAAAACCACTTGAGCTTGTGATCATACAGGGGCCACAGTCAGAACATGGTTTCTTGTCACTGCCACCGCAAAAATCTGTATAAAGAGATCCAGGTCTCGGGACAAAAGCTGAGGAGCAGAAGAAACCTGTAGCGATTCAGTACGCACTTCATGGCAAGAGCACCTGCCTTTCTTTGCACATGGGAGACAGAGTGAAAAACCCCTCTCAGGGGTTACAACACTGGAGGCTACAGGATTAAGCGCTGCTGTAAAGGGCAATGAGATTTAATCTGGGTTGTCAAAGTATGTTGCTTACTATAGGTGAGGTATTAACAAGATTGTTATCCTTAAGGTGAAATCCTCTCCCCTTTCCTTTTCATGAAAAGATTAAAAAAACTTCACAAACACCACAACCCCTAGTGGTCAAAATCACCGCCTTAGCTTTTTGCTTACGTGACACAATTAAAATCTATGTTCTTATGCATCAGCCGACTTCACACCATGTAGTCACTTTTAATTAAGCTCTGGTATTTGCCTAGTCTTAAGAAATATATTCACTAAAATATTTAAGCAGCTTGTGGGAACTACTCCCACAGCTCAGTTTTGCCAAGTGTTAAAAGCTTATAGCACTTCTCATGACAGTGTGATTCTGCACTCAAAATCTTTAAGCATCAAAAAAAAAAAATTAATAGCCCTGCACTAAAATGTGTCTCAGGGCATGCTTGCATGCCTTTATTTATATTTTTTTTCAACCTGGAAGAAAGTTTTAAAAAGCCACCTTCCTGGCTTATGGATCTGGGGGTCCTGGCAGACACCAAGTCAAACCTGACCCAAGCAATGGGCCCGGTGTACATCACTGGAATTTAAGTTAAAGCAAATAAAACTATCATCTCCTGAGGAAATAAATGCTCTCCTTGTGCAGCCTAGTAACAGTCCAGCTGTCCTATTAAAAAATCCTGCTAATACAACCAGTTACAGACAGGCAGAGTCCCCTGGACTGGCTGTATGCTTCTCATTCCAGTATCAGTTAGTACCGAGAACAGGTTATGGAACAATCTTATAAAATTCAAACTGCTTCATCTCTATGCACAAGAGTCTTCTAGGAATAATAGATAAAACTATGATTTATTACACTGTACAAAACTAGATTCAGAACAAGCAAGTGTAGAATAAAGTACATGATTTATTTTTTTCTGTATGTTACATATTATTAGTTAAATTACATTGGCAAACCCAAAGCTTCCCTAATTTTTCCTTTACCTGCCTAAGCCAAGCAATTAATTTTGTTCTACAGGACAGAAGAAAATAGGTTCCTGGAGAATTTATCATCTGATTAACTCGGCGGAAGGTGCTTCAGCATGGACTGACGTTCAGTGTTTCCCACAGCTTGTAAAGACTTGTCAGGTCAGAACATCGGTTGGCGGCGTAATGTCCTGCCACTGGACTGGTCTAAAAACAAGCAACTCCATTCTCATTAAATTTCAATAAAGTCTTCTTCTTAGAAGATGAATTAATGCAGTTGCATTTGTAGATATACCAAATAGTATAAATGAGGGCTGTAGCTACCAAAAAAAAAAAAAAAAAATCATCACTTCCCAGTAGCCCCAGATCTGTCTCTTGAGTTATTCAGGATGTGCTGAGATAGGTTATATGTTTAATAAAGTCCTTAAGAAAAATAAATATTTTTGCATAATGTATGTACAAAGATCAGTTGATTTCCTTCATTCATAGGCTCAACAACAGATACAACCACAGCTATTATTTTATTCACAAGCTCACAATGATTAATATTAAGAGTCCAAGAGAACACTGGCCTGTTCTTTATAATAGTGCAAATTATATGGGAGTGTTTTGAAAACAATGGCTTAAAGAAAGAAGGATTAACATAAAAAAAACCCTCCTTTGGTCCCTGTAAGAGTAGTTTAACTCTTCCGTGAATTTTTCAAAACTCCCCCACATAATTCTATCCAACTATTAAGGCGTCAAAAGAATGGATTTAGAGTTGAGATGAAAATGGTTCTCTTGGACTTGAAAAGAAGTCCACTGGAGATTTCCTGACAAAGAAATTTTCTTAATGTGTCTCTTCCTCCTCAGCTCTCTTCTGCACAAAAACAATATGCCAAACAAACCTGTCTGATAATCCTCCCCGTATCTTTTTTTTTTAACTACAACAAAACATTACACTCAAATATATTGCACAAAAAGCATAATGTATCCTGCCTGGCTCTTCACAGAAATGGTCACAAACACAGGAGAACAGCTACTAAATGTCTCAAAACTTGAAGAGATCAATAAAATGCTGAGGAGATACTGGCATAAGACAGGTGTCTGGATCACTGGCTGTGCAGGGGTGTCCTGTATCCTGCAGAACGAAGGAGAGGAAAAAAAAGCAAATAAGTTCTCTTTCCATACTCACAATCTCTGTCCACATCCAATTAAAAAAAAAAAAAGGAAAGAAAAAATTCACATACAGGCACATGCAACTACTTCCACAGTAAAATGATAGGAACTTGTTCTTTTTAAGAATGCACCATATTTAACTGTTTTAGATTAAGTTGTTAAGAAAATAGGCCTTTCCAGTCTGACTGCGGTAGCGCAGGGTAGCTTCAGATTTCAGAAGAAACACACCCCACCCCTCTCCTCCTGAAACAGAGTCTCCTGAGTCAGAGCTCTTGAAAAACATTTCATATTCTTTATCTATTATTTTTTGATGAGTGTAACAAAACAAAAAAACCCAACAGGCAACTGCTTAGCTGAACCTAAATTATCCGTCTAATGAAAATCTGACACGCAGAACTCCTCGAAAACATGAGCTCCGTGCTTTGGAAATAAGGGCAGCCGACACTTCCCACAAAAGCCCTGAACACCATGTTTGAAGTCCCAGTCATTAACATTTTTCTACCTTGCTTTCCTTTCCTCCCCCAACATCTTTTTCTACTCTTTCCACACCTACCTTTACCCCACCTGAAAGCAACGCCTTAAACCACAACTTAGCACCCAGGCCCGATGGATAATGTTGTTGTCAGGCTCAGAAACTGTCCTCTCCGGTTTTAAGGGGTTCCTCTCCCTTTTCCACCAGTGCTGATGAATTTGCCACGTGGGGCAAGAGAACTAGACTAAATACAGGCTAAGTAGATCTCACCACTGCAGTCTTAATTTATTCCATTTCCACAGGAAACAAAGTTACATGTAACTCAGTTAAGAGAAGGAAAGAACCTGTAATTGAAACTTTCTTCTCATTTGGAAACTTAGATAAGGAAAGTGCTTTCAGAGGTGCCACTTCACATCCAAAGTCTTTTCAACACCAAAGTATGCGAGGTGACACACGTTCTAAATACTACTCAGCTTTTTCAATGAAAATGGTTACTCTATAGATACATTATCTGTATTCTGCCACTAAGACTACATGAAAATATCATGTGGTATCGCCTCCTCATTCTCCTGCTTTTTGAAATAATTGCTTTAGCATCGCCTGCGAACCAGTTGGTACACTCATGACAGAGGGAAAAATAAACACAAAAAAGAGAACAGACAAGTAGACTAGATTATTGGGGAAGTTTGCAGATGGGGAAGAACAGAAGACTAAGGCCAGAAGCGCTAAATGAAACACCTTCCTCTTCAGGTGACATCTGCGAGGACGAGATACACCACAGCAGAAAATACTCTCAATGGTAGTTGCTAACAAACTATCATCTTCTCTACCCATTGCCATGTCAAGGTCATGTCATTACTTTCCCAGTTTCCAGGAAAAAAAAACCAACAAAACCAACAAAACATCAGAATGAAGATTCTGGGAAAGAAGATAGGTGCTTCTTTTAGTTCTTATTTACACTCTGAAATATTTTCAACATGAATTTGTAACATGCTACCAGCTTTGCTCTGTGTATCAGCATAAAAATGCTTTTGAAAGCTCTGCTCAGTCAGGAATTACAGGTCCAATAAAAAATTCTCAGCAAGATTGGTTCTTGGGTTTTTTAGTTATTAAACCAAAACAGAAACAGCAGTTATACAGTGAAAAACTTTATGAGGACTGAAAAGAATCATAACTTCACTGTAATTATGAGAATTCCTCCTTCCAAAAAAAAATTATTTCCCTTGAAATTACATTTAACAAATAGTGTTCAAATCATATTGATTTTCAATGTATCTATTCAAACAGAATTATTTTAAATTAACAAGAGAATTCACCAGGAGGAGTGTTTACTGGCAAATGTGGTTGTTTTCCTCCTCAAATTTTATTGTAACCAGACATTAGGCTGCTCCCATAACTCTGGAGCTACAGTCCTTTTCTGTATAATTATTTCAATCATTTCTTCATTCAGAAAGCAACACTGTAACTGCCTCCTCCACTACTCTCCCCAAGTCATAGGCAGCTTGTTTTGGGCATTTCTTTTCAGAGAGACTCTTTCATGAAAATACGTATTACTACAGCATTGCAAGTGGAGTAAAATCAATTTTAGTACCTTTGCATTAAAGAAAGTTATGTGAGGTTCATGTGACTCTTTTCAGATTTAAGTCCAGCAGGGAGTGCAGAAACTGCTTATAACATTGAGTGCAGAGAAACCTATTTATTACTGAAATCTGGCTGCTCCCACTGTCACCATGCACCTACGTTCATTAGAAGGTGAATTAGAGTCCTTACTTCAAGTGGCATTAACAGGGAACATGGCAATAACAAAACCCAAATCTGATGGAAAAACTGAGCTGGCAAGGCATCACAACATTATCTAACAGGGAAACAAGAAAAATTATTTCTGC